TGTATGCCCATCCTATAATTAATTATCCACTTGTTATGATATAATGAAGCCTAAACTATGATAAAATGGGAAAAACATTAACAGTATGTACATTGTACATACCGACATTATTATAGTCGGTATGTTGTCTGTATGTAATTATTAATTAAGCATTCATTTAAGTTTATTCGCAGATAATCACAAATAAACTTCTGACGTCATTAAAAAGAAGTTACAATAGTATTTTTAATGAACATTTTCATATTATTATTTTCAAAGAAACATTTTTTTCTTATTTCCTTCTTTATTATGATTGATGAAAAATTATTTACCAAAGTTGATACCTAGATAATTTCCCATTTCTAATATATAAATTAGACACCTACTACATATAATACGTATGTATTTGTATCTGACGAGAATTTTTCGGGCCGAGGAGTCTGATAGAATTTTGAAAATCTCCAAATGTTTAGTCCGGATCTACGCCGGATATTTATGGAGAGGTCGATAACTGCGACTTGAAGGAACGCTACCGAAACTAAATATTCAAAGTTCCATTAAACCACGGCTCGTCAGGTCGGAAAATTCTCGTAAGGTACATGCTACCTCCAGTTTGGTTTAGTTTTAGTGTGATTTTGCTATTACACTTAACTTTACTATTACTCATAGAAAGTAGCATGCCGCATAGTATTTCGAGTCAAAGTTGGTTTTAATTGTCTTTGGCCATTGTTTAACGAACGCTTATAGCTCAAGAGCTAAAATCGTGTCGCTTTGACGTCTACGTAATAATGTTTTATCCATAATGACAATGCGCATCTTTAGAGTAGTCTACAAATTGTACTAGAAACGGAAACAGATCAACGCAGTTGCCAGGTAACGTCGCAATAATGCTGCTCTCTTTGTAATTGTAGACAAAACGACGAGGTTATTGCACTGAAGCTAACGAACTCCATTACAGAGTGGATGGAGTTTTGAAAAAGAAAAACCTCCCTCGTTATATACTAGTACGCTGTAATGATTATAAAAGGAGGCGAAAGGCAATTTGGCCCAATAGGTAGGTCAACGACCTATACATCTGAGACTGTAAGTACTAACAATGCGCGTTTCTGTAATTAAAGGCAGAGATCCGATTTATATGAAATACTTCTATTTAACCTGTTTCTATTTTTGCTTTTAGATGTCACGTCTAATTATTTTCTCTTTATATTTGAGTAGCATTAAATTTCAATTTTGAAAATACTCAACAACACTACAATGTTCTTAGGGGCTCTTCATTCCGTTAGGTGTTAGGCTTCTTGGGAAAATTAAAACTTCAGACTCATTGAAGTATAAAACATGCCAGCGAACTTAAACCTTTTCAACGAGCTTCTCCACCAAAACCTAACCACACTTACGCCTGATTTGTGTATCTATCGGGCTAGTACCTACAGCGCAGTTACGTTACACATAAATCTCAGAGAGAGTTCAAGCGAAAAATTGATAGCGGGATTATTTTTATTTTGACATCGTAAATAATTCATCAAAAGTTCATAAAGCGAAATGGACGGCTACAAATGTTACAGCAGTTCACGAAAAACTGATTTTCTCGAATATCTCGTAAAAGGTCGGGTCTACGTTACTTTTAATTATCATAAAAAATTGCATTTTGAGATAAATTTGTACAAAAAAGCTCAGATAAAAAATTTATGTAGAACCAGTAGTTTTCAAGAAATATTAGGGCTGAGAAAACTGCTGCATTACAGTGCATACGCTTTTACACCACCTTTCAGTTAGAAGGCTGACTTCTTCCATATTTCATCACCGTTGAATTTAGATTCAAAGTTAGATCCTCGGACACGACTGTCCCCAGCAAGAATCAAAATGTTTGGAACATACCAATCCTACTTTTCTAAATCCAAAATAAATTGATGTCACAACATTTTTGTTTAATTTAGGGTATATTACCAGGTTTAGAGTTGGCTGGGAAATGATTTAGACCCTCAGTATTGGGGTTCGACTTTAAACAATAATTATGATTCCCCTTGCGCCAGATTTTCTTAATTCTATTTGTAGAATTATCATGTTTCGCAGTATTACGGCTTTTCTGGGGCCAGTTGCGTCTCAATACGTTGCTTGTCCGATGTTAATATCGTTGAATCTGAGTTTAACGATAATGAAGGCGTTTTCATTTCGTTATTTTTTATTGAGATAGAAATGAAGTATTAAAGAAGAAGAAGAGGAAAAGTCAGCGCGGACGAACAATCATCAACAAAATTAAGGCATCACTTAAGCCTCATCCACACATTTCCGAGCACCTATTTCCCCAATTCCTGATAATGGATTGCTCGTCACGAAAGTTCGGTACTTATTCGCCGTTTTCCGCTCGGAGTTGGTCTTTTATGCCGAATCAAAGGAAAATAGTGTGACATTTGCACCCGATCGACACACATTCGGGATATTTGTGCAGAAACCATTTAGCAGTTTCAGGCAAAAATAATGTTTGCCGCCCTTTATTGACATTAACAACATCTTCATTCATTGACATACTATTCCAAACATTTACTTTTATAAAAACAAATTGTCAAAAAAAAAAGAATTTTACTCAAAAGTATAATATAAAGAACAGTGTCTAACCTAACCTAACTACCAAATAATCATTTGTCTTTAAACCACGTAAACTTAGAATAACATCCCTATTTAATAAAATAACTTTCTCCCAACTGTTTTTTCTACAGAAACAGTAATGTGTAATTTTTGTTTGATATTGATACCTTCTCAGGCATGAAGGTCTAGTCAGAGACATATTAGAGGCAGAAACAGGAGGGGTAGAGGTAGGCCTAGATTAGATTACTCTTCGCAAATAGTTAAGGATGTGGGCTGTTCTAGTTTTAGAGAAATGCGAAGTTTAGCTCAGGATAGGAAAGAGTGGAGGTACGTGTCCAACCAGTCTTAAGACTGATGACCTGATGATGATGGTGATTGATACCGTGGCAGACCTCTCGTTCAACTGCAATCATAGCCTTTTCAATAAATCTGATATCTGTAACGGTTGACTAGGTCATTTTTTATTAATTTATATACAATTTGGAGAAACTTCTTTCACCAGTAGTAACTGCCACTGGTAATGAAGTTAAACTTTTCGATTGTACTTGACGAAAGGTGAATACCAAAAGTGTGGATGCGGATTTACCCATGGATTAGGCGTACAAGGGATACCATGTAAATAAAAATTGTGCCTTGAATTCTGCCTGAAAGGTGGTGCAGTACAAGCCTGAGTTTTCTCAGTCTTGGATATATTCTACGTAAATTTTGTGTGGGACCTTTCTTATGTAGATTTATTTCACAAACAATTTTATTATAGTTAAAGTTAACGTAGACCCGAAATCTTACGAGATATTTAATAAAATTAGTTTTCTTTGATCATCTCCAACTTTTGTAGCTGTCCAGTTGACTTCATGAACTTGTGAGGCCAAAATACTGGTAGTCCCACTTGCATATCATTAGACAGATTTTTTAAAAGTTTTCAATTTTCTTTGTAAAAAGTGACTGGACTAAGTAGTTCTACTAACTTTCTAGTTATAAAATCGTTACGTAACGTCACCATAACTTCATCGTCACGTTATTAGGCTGTACCCTTCCCCTTTATTTAGAAAAAAAAATACAATTAACTAATCTTGACATTGATGGAATATATCCACTGTTGCTCAATCCTTTTTTATGATAGCACATACAAATTTGTCGACAAAGATACGAGGCAGCTTCTAAAATATTAGCATCTTATCATGGTATGTTACATAACCTTGGTAACATTCTGCACAGGGTGTAACAGAAATAAGTGATAAGCTTGCAGGAGGTGATAGACCACTATGAAACATGAAAATTAAATAAATGTTTGTATTTCCGAATGTTCACCGTTTTTACCGAAAAGGTAAATTCAATTCCGGCCCTGGTTCATCAATCCGGCTTGCAACGCTGCATTCTATCAGCTGGTGATTACTAGCATCGGTGTAGTATTTGTTTTATATTTTTTTTATTCATGCCAACCTCTAATATCTAATCTAATTTATTCTTTTAACGTTTAAACCTTGTGCAGTTCAGTAAACTAATTCAACAATATAACATCAATTAATAGTATGTCAGCCACTGTAGAGCAGTTGCTGTTACAATAATGTGACATGATACGTATTTACGGGTTTGAACACTATCGCTGCTGAAGGGACGAAATCCTCGATTTCAAAGAAACCAATTCCCAAAAATAGTACACGCAAAAGAACAGAGAATGTTGACTTCTCTGTGTGGCAATTTTTAAAGGAGCAGTTGCTTCATCCTTATCATTTGCATGATGTATAAGCCTTGCTTGAAACAAATTTTCAACCGCGAGTAGATTTGCTTCGGTGGTTTAGAAAGAAAAGTGCTGCACAGCCTAATTTTTTCCATAGGATGTTGTTTTGAGACTGCTTCACGCCGGACCGAATTTTGAATTTTCACAATAATCACTATTGGTGCGACGCAAATTCACGTCGGAACTGTTTTCGGTAAATGTGTGATACGAGATTTTTGGAGATTTATTTGTCTTTTTTGGTAAGTTTACATACAATCACCAGCAAAAAAAGTAACGCACCTTGGCAATACCTGAATTGTGTGAAAATTTGCCTTAATAAAGTTACAATTATCATTATATTAATTAATGTCGGTCCGGCTTTGAATTGTAAATTATTGTGATTTTCTTAAAAAAAGATTGGCCATATTCACGCTGCTGAAGTCACCGTACGATTGTTTATTGCATTTACCTTACACACTTCAAAGCTTGGCATTTACTTCTGTTACACCGTGTATAAATAGTTATAAATAAAATGAAATTATTAAACATTTCCTGACATAAATCGTAAACGAATTTTACAGTGAACAATACAGTAATTTTATTAATAAAAACAAGCATTTTATTTTAGAAATTGTCCAGAACATGTCCATTGTGTATTATAATAACTTTACATTTGATATTTACGGTATGGCATCGACATACATTTTCCATTTTTATATTAAATGCAATGCAACAATCATTTATGTGATACAAAATAAAATATTGGTTTAATCGTTCATTACTGAATATGCAAAAAAGTAGAGAAGTGTAGTTTCGGTAAGAATGAAGTGACATTATTTACAATACTTTTCGTGACATATTCTTGAAATTTTGTATCAAAAGGCGAATAATTTTGCTCTTAGTTATGGTATATCTACACACTAGGTCTTTTAGTACCTACCTACTCCAGTATCAGTGCCCAACTCAACTGAACCTTCGGCAAAAATAGGATCGATTTCCATTCTCTGTCTACTACGCGCTGATAAAATCCAGTGAGATCGAAATCGCAATTCACGTCTGACGGTTTCGACAGAATACTGACCAGTTGCAACTTGCGCTTCAAACTTTAGAGTAGTCTACAAATTGTACTAGAAACGGAAACAGATCAACGCAGTTGCCAGGTAACGTCGGAATAATGCTGCTCTCATTGTAATTGTAGACAAAACGATGAGGTTATTGCACCGAAGCTAACGAACTTCATTACAGAGTGGATGGAGTTTTGAACAAGGAAAACCACCCTCGTTATATACGGTGTAATGCTTACAAAAGGAATCGAAAGTCAATTTGACCCAACAGGTAGGTCAACGACCTGTACATCTGGCTTCTTGAGAAAATCAAAACTTTATAAACCTCTGAGAAATCCAGCTGAAGATTTACCAGCAGGATTATTTTTATTTTGGCGTCCATTAGCATATTGTTCTGTTTGGTTACGTGCTTTAACGTAGGATTAACTTTGCTGTGGATTCAGTTCGACAAATTGATGTTCTTATGGGCGCTGTTTGTAGTAATTCATTGATTCTGTATATGGCAATAATTTCATTTCATTTATAAAAAAGAAATAATGAATACAGAAATAATACAAGAAAATCAAATGGCCTTCTGTGCAGCTGTATGTAATAAACGACTATAAACCAAAATTCATATAATAAAAAACCGCTATGTTCACTCGTCACTGCTGTATACTGTTATTGGTAAATAGTGAAGCGCAAAATTGGCCCTGGTCTTACAATCTTGGTCTTTGTCTTGCGAAAATACAAGGCCGAGACAAAGACCAAGACTGTTTTTATACTAGCAATGCCAAGACTAAGACCGAACGGACAAGACCAAGACTAAAACCAAGGCCAAACGAACAAGACTAAGATTAACAATAAAACGGAATATGCAAGACCAAGATCAAATACGCAAAACTAAACGAAAAGTTATTACTTCCGATGAGTTAAACTATTTGAAGTAACCTTAACATATTCTATTCTTTGAACAAAACATTTTTAGTATTTGAGGTAGCAAATTATTGTGATCCATAATGAGTAGGAGTAGAACTACATATTGTATTTCGTTCTCGGAATCGTCAGATGTATCGTAGAACCAACTACAAAGGTCTACTTAAATATTTTAGTTTTGCGAATTGCCAACGAACTTTAGAAAGCATGTCGGTAAAATGGTAAATAAAAAATAAGTTCCTTGAAGAAAGCTCAAAGCTCAAAGCTAATATTCCTCTAAAATGTTAATAAAGTCTTGTTGTAGGCAAATCCTCGTCAGGATTTTGTAAGGGAAAGTTTTTGTCTTTATAGTTTAACGGTCTATTACTTACGATCAATCTACTTACCTACTTCAGCTGTGCATTGAGCTTTTTATATCGAAACTGTATATGTACATCCATAATAATACTTTTAAAACATAGATATATATTTAATATTTCATTATGATAAATTTTGTTAAAATTAAATAATTTCAGATTAATGTATGCTACACGCAAGTTTCTATAGTCAAATTTGCTGAGAGAATATTGTAAGACTTACATATCCCCACCATCAATTAGATGCAGTGAGGGTAATACTTATTCTTTGGTTAGTTTGACTGTATCGTATGAACTATATGTCCCCATTACCAACTAGGTAGAGAAGATGAGAAACATCTCTTAAACTAATTTGATTTCGTAATTGTTATTGTTTAATGATTACTTTTTTGTTTATTCTAAATGTGATTTTTCTATGCCCTTATTGAAAAGCCTAAAAATTTTAAATGGATATTTAAAAATTACTTGAAGTATCAAAAATTAAAATTTACAGCCAGTACTCATTGTATTCCGCCGCCATATTGCTTTCGCGTTACCAAATTATTATTGCAATATGTACTCATGGCAATTTTAATCTTTATCTCCCTAATTATACAATTAAATAAAAAAAAAAAAGAAGATTCGCGCGTCGATAAAATTGAAAAGTATTTGCTTAATAAAAATATTTTGATTATCAAAAATCTTTTTTTTTTATTTAAACGACATTTTTATATCAAAATATTTAAACAATTAATAACTTTTATTGCTAAAAGGTAGAAATGGGGCAATTAATATCAAAAAGGGCAGTTAAAGGGCAATTTTTTAAGCCATCAAACTTTAATTACAAGTCAATTTAGAGAAAAAAAGGAATTTGACGGCACCAGCTTCGCTTTGGTATCTAATGTATTTACTCATGGCCTGACGGAGTAAAATCCGGACTTTCTGTTACTTTAAATTATCGTGTTATCGTATTATTGAGTATATAAAAGATTGTACTTTTAGTAAATGTAAATGTAAAATTAGTTTGACTCTTGATTACAATTTCGATTAATTCATTTTTCAATTTCAGCTTTTGATTTACTCTGTTTCCGATGCAATATAGTTGGCAAATCAATACGATCTGAAAGTAGCTGCTGAGTAATTATATTATTCATCCTGCCATCTAGCCATAATTAATTATCTACTACAATTTTATTAACAGATAAAAGCGAACACAGATATTATGGTCTCTGTACGCTGATATTACGTACGTAGTAGGTACATTTGGTAGTAATGGCAGATGGCAGCGTAATGTATTAATTCGATAAAAATATAGAAATTTAATAAAAGGATAGCTTAATAACTAATGTTCGGATTGTATGCAAATATATGCATGTAAATATCCTTCAAAAATCATCAAAATATGCAGTAAAATATACATTTACATGCATTTTTTTTAATGACTTAAAGCACAGGAAGCACGTTAACAGCACCTTTTATTTGTGCAAACAAAAATTACATAATAACTAACAAGCATTATCTTTAGACAAATTATAATAGTATATAATTAATAAGTAAAGAACTATTTTCTAAATCCAAAATTTTAGGTTCAGTAGTGTCGGAAATAATGAGGTGGGAACAGTCAATTTTCATCTATTTTCTTAAATAACGTTAAAACTATTTATTTTAAAATTAGAAAAATTTATATTTGAGACCCTGACGCCAAGCCTTTTCATTTTATATGTTACACGGTGCAGTTTGCAAAACTTTTTTTTTAATTTTCTATTGACCCCCAAAATTGACCTCCATGTTCATAATTAATTTATTTACGTTATGCGGTCGTTTTTGGGTCATAGAAATTCATAAGTGTGTTAAATTTCAACTTAATCGGTCCAGTAGAGGAGCAAATTGACTGTGACAGACGGACAGACAAATACACGAGTAATCTTCTAAGGGTTCCGTTTTTCAGTCAGACGTAAGCAACCTTAAAAACCATGTTTCGTTTATTGTATTTAAAAACATTTCTATCCGGATGTCTGTTGTTAAAAATTAATTCCTACTTCTTGATGAGCTTTACAATTTTTTCCCATAATCAAAACTGTTTTAATTTTCTCCGTAGATGTTAATATACCTGCCACTTCTTGTATTTTATACATTCTAACTAGCGTTTTGACGTTTGCTGTCAACAATTCATTGGCTTGTCAGTGCATTCTAAATGAAACGTCGACGTGTAAGACAAATTGATACGACACAGAATTTGTCACTGCATTGTTAATTAAATGTTGATCTACGGACATAAATTATCAATGCTAACCACACAGAGAGGAATTTGTAAAAACAACAAAATTTGTTTTTCCATGGCAGACGGATAACATTAGATAGCTGACTGTAACTAATAATTAGGATCAACTTTTCTTAATAACGGTTGTCGATATTGTAAAAAAAGAAGTACTTTACTTCAAAAAAATTACATTTTTCAGCGAATTTCGTATACCACTGCAAAAAATTGATAATAAAAGAAAGTTTTTGATAATGTCAAATGGGATAAGATGTTAAATATACTTAAAAATGTAGGGATGAGTTACAAAGACAGAAGAGTGACACTTAGTTTGTATAAAGAGCAACAAGGAGTTATAGAGATGGGGTTGCAACGTAGAGGAGTAAATATTAGGAAGGGAGTCAGGGATGCACACTGTCACCACTACTTTTTAATCTATACATCGGAGACGCTATCAACATAATTAAAGACAGTACCACTGTAGGGATAAATATACAGGGGCAAAAGATCAGTATGCTTAGATTTGCAGATGATTTAGCAGTATTAGCATCTAGCAAGGAGGAGTTAAGAGATATCTTTAGATAAAATGGAAGCGGTATTGACAAAACAGTACTGTATGAAAATAAATAAAAGTAATACAAAAATACTGATATGCAAGGGAAGAAAAAGTAGGAAAAGAGCGAATATAAAGATAGGGGATAAAAAATTAGAAGAAGTGACTGATTTTAGGTATTTAGGAAGTCAAATAAGTCAGGACGGAAGGAGTAGTAGGGATATGAAGCAGAGGATAGAGCAGAATCGAGTCGCCTTCAATAAAAAGAAGTCACTTCAACGCTCGCGAACGGTTAATTTAGAAATTCGAAAAAGGTTGTTAAAGGTATATGTTTTGAGCACGGCGCTGTACGGGTGCGAAGCATGGACAGTGACGCGGCGGAGAAGAAAAGGTTAGAAGTGTTCGAAATGTGGTGTTACAGGGGAATGATGAGGATACCGTGGATAGAGAATGTTAGAAATTAAGAGGTATTAGAGAGAGTAAGAGAACAGGAAGTCAATAAGAAATAGGCGAGTTAGGTTAGAAGGATACCTTTTCAGGCATGAAGGTCTAGTCAGAGACATATTAGAGGCAGAAACGGAAGTTAGGTGGGGTAGAGGTGGACCTAGATTAGATTACTGTTCGCAAATAATTAATGATATGGGTTGTTCTAGCTTTAGGGACATGCGAAGATTACTGCAGGATAGGAGAGAGTGGAGGTGCGTGTTTAACCAATCTTAGGACTGACGACCTTATGATGATGATGAAAGGAATGTACTATGTCTGACTTCCAGATACAGTGTCTTTATGTGAAAGTGCTTATAGGGGGTGTTAGAGTGACCATTTTTTTTTTTAATAATTTTTGGGACACTTCGAATTTTTGTAGGGTTTAATTCAATACACCAGCGACTTAATTTTTGTATTAACATTACCCACTACAAATAATTTTAAATTAATGAGGAAAAAATTGTTGCTATCGTCACTGTTTTGTCAGAAATCGAACCAAGATAGTTTAATAAATTAATTCAAAAATTAATGCATTAATGCAATTGTCTTTCTATTTGTACATCTGTAGGTAATATCAATTTATTAGTTTATAAAGTATTATATAGTTATCCCAAATACAACTTGAATTTTTTATTTTGAGAATATTTAGTAATTTATTAATCTAATATTTTTAATAGATACATATAGACAGCAGGTATTTTTTTTCTTTGTTTCTGAAAATATTAATTTTTTATTTCAGGTATATATGTAGGTGTCTACAATTTGTCTTAAACATGAAAAGAAAATAATTTGAAAAGTTATTACAGTTGTATTTCAGTTTACTTACCAATTACATTAACATCACAACAAAGCTTTGACAAGCCGATAAATATAATAGAGCAATTTAGAAGGCGATTGCAAATTTGTAGGCGCACATTTAATTGCGGAAGGTAGTAAACGGCAATGTTGACAAATCACCTTACGATTAACTGTGCGAATCAATAATGTTCCACGTTTCAAGTTTGCGCTTATGATTAGAAATAGGACCGGTAATAAATAAGTGAGTTTTATATCCTGCAAGTCAATAACCGCCGAAAATGGTAAAGTAACACTATCAAAGAAAGGTCCTATAGGTAAATATTCAATTGAATGGCATCAATAAGATATCGCAGTGGCCAGTCGACTAGTTCAAACAGCCGAGAAAAACGTACCTATATGACTTCACGCATCTTCGATACGTTGTATCACTCAGCAGTTCGTTTCCGTAGTGGTGAGGTGTTTAGACGG